ATTTTGATTTACCAATCGCAAGTTATGGTCTTTGACTTAAAGTCCCTTTTTGTTGACTTTTGAAAATGACCTATAATGTTGAAATTGATAACTTTTTGTGAGAGCATTTCTTGGACTTGGAGTGTGAATATGAGTTGTAGGAAATGTCATCCCCTTCAAAATGAGCATTGGATGGGATTTTTCTGATGAACCATGAAAAAGTTATGCCTTGGTCAAGTTATAGTTGACTTTTCAATTGTCCAAAAATAGAAACTTTTGACACCTTGATGATTTTTGAGCCATGCTTGTGGAATCATGATCAAGACTTGATCAAATGATGATTGTGGCTTCAAAATAAGATGTTGACAAAAAATTTTGACTTTTGACTGCCGAATGACCATTTTGCCCCTGCAGTTGATTGTGAGGCAATTAGGGTTTTTGACTATGCAACCTTGACCTTGTGAGCCTCGAAACTTGACATATAGGTGCTTGACAATGTGTATGAGCATGTGTGACTTGATTTATCCCTTGAAAACCTCAGCTTCCTTGTGAGAACCAAAACCCTAGTTTGACTGGCTTAGGAGGATGGTTGACTGTGCAACCCTTGAGAGATTTTGAACAAATCTAGATGATGCATGTCAAAACTTTGAAGAATATGGGAGGGCAAATTTTGGGGTGCAACAATCTCCTGCCTTTTTCTTTTAGCCTGCTACCCTGCTGCATTGTGTACTTGCTGCATTTGTACAGTTTGCATCCAGTTGCTTTGTAACTCAGTTTGCTTTGTATGCAATGTTTTAGTTTTGTTTACAATGTTGTTTGGTTTAGTTGCAATGCTGTTTGGTTTGCTTTGTATGCTGCATTGCTTTCCTTTGTATGCTTACTTTGTACAACATGTCTTGCATCCAGTTTGGCGCCTTTGTTTAGCTTGATTTGTACAACATGTTTCAGTTTTCCTTGTAATGCAGTTTTGGCGCCTTGCTATGTTTTTGAATAGATTGCTTTGTTTGCATTCTTCTTTTTGCAATTTTTATTTTTGTCTTTGTGAACCAAGAAGAGAAATCTTCTTGTGATTTGCAAAGAGCAAAATAAAAACATGATGAACAATAGCACTTCTGATTCCAGACGGCAAACTTTAATGATGAATTTTTTCCTTTCTTTTTTTGTTTGAAAATTTAATTAACTGTACTAATCCTGTTTTCTTTGTCTTTTTCATGTGAGCACAAATTGGGTGATAGAGGAAGCAGAGGAAGCAGGAGACTTTGAGCATGGGAGCAATGGATTAGACTTAGATTTTTTCTTTGAGAGATTTTTCATTTAATTGTAATAATTTATTCTTCAAGTACTATAAGCTGTAAAACTTAAAGCACTTGAAATAATAAATTATTTTTTGTAACATCATTTGAAATAAATGAAAAAGTCTTTATCCAATAAAACTCTTCTACTGTCAATAACTTGCAACTCTTTCTCTGCATCTTCACTTAATCCTTTAAGATTCTCAGATAAAAATAATTGAAATTGCATTCCAATAATTTTAATACAGATAACTTAAACTTTAAGTAATCCAATAACTTTGCAATCTCGTAACTTTGCAACAACATTCCAATCAAAATACGCATTGGGTATTCCAATAAACAAGCAAACATTTCATTCCATTAACAAGCAGACATTTCATTCCATTAACAAGCAGATGTCTTATTCCATTAACAAGCAGATGTCTTATTCCATTAACAAGCGAACGTTTCATTCCATTAACAAGTAGATGTCTTAACAGACGCACATTATCTGGTTAACCTGGATCATACAAAAAACCTGAATGTTCCAAATGACAGTCTCAACTCCTATCTCTTATCCCAGATAATCAGGCCTTGAGAACAACCAATAACCTTTCAGCAAACTCAAAAAAGTGTGAAAAAATGTGACATTTAATTGAATTTCTGAGAATTCAGTTTCTTCTGGGAAATGCGAGAGAAACCCTAATTCTTGATCTACTGCCAAAGAAAGGTCTGTTTGATCGATCCCTGAGCCAAGTCTTTGAAAATCTGAGAAAAACCCCAGGGTTGTGATTTCTTGTGAAAAAGGGAGCGAAAATTTTGGGGTACGACAGTCCCACTATAGTATTTTTCTTGCTTGGGTCTTTTTCTGACGTGGTTAAGTGTTTACACTCAGAACCAGGGGCTCTGATGCCAATTGAAGAATGGAAAAACACAAGAAGTGGAGTTTTAATTGGGGTTTTTATAAACTTAAAATAAAAGACACTTTGGTTATTCTGGTTCATTTGAACTCAAACTACTCTGGTCCACCTGCCAAGGTGATTTCGTCTCTCTCGAATGAGGTCTTAATCCACTAATCAAACTTGATTACACAGATACAATAACAATTGTCAAAGTCTTCTTGATTTTAAACCACAACCCAATTTTCTCAAGATATTACACAGTACTATATTTCAAAGCTTGTACAAATATGTTTTCTAACAAAAAATAGTATCCCAAAAGTGATGTATTACATAATTGAAAAGAAATAGATTGAAGGTAGTGATATTTCTCGTTTTCAGTGCGTAGCTAAATCATCAATGATTTCTTCTTCATGTCTTCTTTATATACGCAATGCATGAGAAGTGATTTTGGAATATTGATAAATAGTAGTTAATAAACTTTCCAAACATAGAGATTCTTGTCTTCTTTCATCCGTTACTATTGATTAGCCATGAATAAAATGTAATGTTTCATAACATGCTTGCTAAAGATCTCATCAGAAGATGAATGTTACCGTTGAGACTCCTTTACTTCTTTCCAGAACTTTACGTATTAGAATAACAGAATTCTTGTTCGCAGCGTTTAGTGCACTCAGAAGTTGTAACTCCAAAGCTTCTTTATATAAGCGTGTTACACATATTTGCTTTCTACTTAAGATGTGTCAAATCAGAGTTTTAACAACGATCTATCTCATCTTCTGTGCTTCTTAGATCATAACTTTCATGCAAAACAAAATACTTATTTAAGGAGCATAATTGTTCTTTGAGTGTTTGTTATCATCAAAACTCTTACAAGGATGTAGAACCAAACTATGTTCTAACAGCTAGAACACAAGAGTTGTTGCTCATTATTGTGTTATCATTGTAATTTGTTTGAACACATGAGTTGTTACTGATATTTATGTTAAACAACATGTACTTAAACATTTGTATAATCCACTTGTAAGAAGCAATCTTACAAACACACTATTCAACTGTGAGTTGATTGTTCCTTGAGTGACTAAGGTGTTAGTCAGAATACTCAAGAAGATTTAGAGAAATCTCCTTCAAGAGACCAGGTAGGTCATAAGCCTTAAGGAGTCAGTGATCATTATATCTCTTAGGGGATTTGGTAGGTCATAATTCTTAAGGGATCACTAACGTGTTATCACTGCTTGTTGTTAGTCACTGGCGGGTAGCCCAAGCATTTGTAATCTTTCAAGATTAGTGGATTAAGTCTTTTTCTAAGGAAAAATCACCTTGGCGGGTGGACATGATTAGCCTTTTCTAAGGTGAACCTGTATAAACCAAAAGTGTTATTATTTCTCTCTATACTATTGGTTCTATTTTGATTGTTTGTGTAAATCACTTCTAAACGAATTTTTTTTGAAAACCCCATTTTCGTGTGTTTTTCTCAACCTTCAAAGGTCTCAAATGATTGGGTAGTTCAAAAAAGTTTTCTCAATCGATTGACTTAAGGTCTCAATTGATTAAATAGTTCAAAAAAGTTTTCTCAATCGATTGACTTAAGGTCTCAATTGATTAAATAGTTCAAAATTACTTTTAAAATGACCTGGAAGTTTCCCTAATCAATTCCTCGATCTTAAATTTTTTTAAAGAGATTTGATAGATAAAAAAGTAATTTATTATAAAATACAAAAAAACCCCAAAAAAGTTTCATTTTCATCTTCCCTAATATACCTCTTTCTTCACAAATACACATTCAAAAGGATAAAGTAGTATGGTGGAGGAACGTGAAGGATTTTTTGGTGAAAAACTCTCATAGGAGGATTTATGAGTTAAATACTTATAATTTGGTGTTGGATGGAGGAAGCCTTCTTGAGTTGGGTTTGATTTTGAAAATTAATATTTTGAGTAGAGTTAAACTTTTTGGGTGGAGGTTATTGTTGAGTAGTTTACCTACTAAGCAGTAACTTTGCACTAGAGGCGTGTCTTCATCTTTTGTGGATATTTTATGTCTTTTGTGTTCTTTGTTTGAAGAATCTAGTGGGCATCTTTTCTTTTCTTATAGGTTGACTGTTTTGGTGTGGCGGACGGTGTTTCGTTGTATGGGGGTGTCGTCATTTGCGAATTTTAAGGATAGTGGCATGATGGAGGTTGTTTTGTCAGTTCATTTTTTCCAGAAAACTTAAAGATGTTTTTGGTGGTTTCATCAACACCTCTTTTTTTCTTTTCTTTTCTTTAACTTCTAATTTGTTGGAGTGTTTGGTTATTTAGGAACTAAGTGGTGTTCAATGCTAAGGTTTAGATGTGTGATGAAGTGTTGTCTTCCATTTAAAATCTTGAGTGAGATTAGTTATCTATTTTAAATAAAGGTAGGATGATTTTTGTTAAGGAGGTTTGATTTTCCAATCATTTAGAATATATTAGGGTGTAAGTGAGTTTTGTTTAGTTTGTCTTTTATATTTTTTTTTATTGAGAGGTTTTTGTGTCCTTGTTTGAACTTCTTTATTGTTTTTGTATTGATTTAGCACTTCTTACACCTATTGTTTATAAATAAATAAAAAACTATAAAAACAAATACATATGAATAATAGAATCTTCACAAATCAATTTTCTCGACAAAATCTCAAATTTAGAATTCTTAATGCAAATACATATTTTAGCAAATACATAAATTAACAAGAAAAATAAAATAGTGATTCACTAAAAAAACCACAACCTCAACTCATATCTCTTAAAATGGAACAACATCAAATAGTCACCATCACCATGATAGATCTTTTGATACTTGATATAAAGAAATGGAAAACAAACAATATTTTCTCACTCATTGCCTGCCCTGATAGTATTTGACATTTTCAGTGCAGTACAACAACAATAATAGCAAAATAAACATGATGCACTACATAACAAAACGAACACAAACACAGACACTATTTATTTAAAAAAGTCTTTAGCACCTTGAGATATCATTGAAGAACTCAATCAAACTATAAAGCACGTATACTTTTCAACCTATATAACACGACACTTTTGAAAATGATTAGTCTGTATCTATGTCTGTATCGATATCGTGTTCGAGGTTTCGTGTTTCATAGTTTCAACTATTGCTTACTTTAATTGGAATAGCTAGCAAAGGTTGAGCTTTCTCCAAAGTAAGTCCAAATTTATCATCCATATTCATATCCTCAGCTTTGATTCCACCATCAAGCTCCCACTCAAAACAATTAATAAACAAACCCAACATCAAAAACAGCACTCTTATAGCCAAAGGTAAACCAGGACAAATTCTTCTCCCACCACCAAAAGGTGTCAACTCAAAATTCCTACCTTTAAAATCAATATCTGACCCCAAAAATCTCTCAGGCAAAAACTCATTTGGATTGTCCCATAAATCTGGGTCCCTCCCAATAGCCCAAACATTCACCAACACTTGTGCACCTTTTGGGACTTTATAGCCATTTATCTCTAAATCCATTTCAGCTTTTCTTGGTAGTAAAAATGGAACTGCTGGGTGTAATCTAAAAGTTTCTTTTACTATTGCTTGTAAGTAAGGGAGTTTTGCTATGTCTGATTCCTTGACCAAGTTTCCTTTGCCAATAAGCTCGTTTAACTCTGATTTTGCTTTTGACATAATGTTTGGGTTGTGAAGTAATTCAGCCATTGCCCATTCTACGGTTGAAGTCACTGTGTCAGTTCCTGCCACAAACAAGTCCTACCAACAACCAATGGACAAAGAAAATCAAATTATTAGATTATACACGTGTCATTTAATTAGAGCTACACTCATTTTCTTATCTTATCTTCTTAGGCTCTTTCTTTGTCCAAAAAAAATCTTCTTAGACGAACACTGGACATCAATAATATCAAAAATATAGAACATAGATATGTTACATATATTCGATTGTACTTAAACTTTATTTATCTATCTATTATATATCGTAAAGATTTCCAAACGAATTAAGTTTATATTACTAGATGAATTTACCGGAGAAGTTTATGAAATGAAGATTAAACTCTTAAATGGAACTTACCACTGATAAACGTTCAATCTTATCTTCATACATTTCACCATTGTTATTTTCATCATTAAGCATAGTATCTAACATATCACTTTTACCACAATAGCTCTTCAACTCTCTCATCTTCAACCTTTCATCAACCAACTTTCTAAAATAATCCAACAACTTCCCAAAATATTCGCCAGTTCTTCTTCTAATACCAACAGGATCCAAAATCTTCAACACAGGAAAACAATCAGCAACGTTTGCTCTTCCAACTTCCTTCATAATATTTGTAACCAACTCCTTAAACTCACCGGCTTTGTCACTCGACGGAACCAAATTAACTGAATAAACTGTATTGGACAACATGTTTAAGGTTGTTTTAAAAGCTAGTCTTCCGATATTAACAGCTTCAAATTTTGCAGCACTTTCGTATATATCGTTTGAAAGTTCTAGAAGCTTCTTGTGTCTGAGTGCTTGATTCGAGTCGAGGTTTTTGTTGGAGAATAGTAAGTTGTTGCAGATTTTTCTGAGGTCTTTCCAGCGTTGAGATAGAGGGATGAATGGTAAACTGTAGTTATGGTGGTTAGAGCCTCTCATTGCATCAGGGACAGTTCTGTTAGAGAGATATTGGTCATTGATTTGAAGAACTGATTTAGCAGTTTGTGATGAGGACATAACTATGGTGGTTATTTGGCCTAGTTTTAGGGTCATTATTGGACCGTGGGTTTTGGAGAGTGTGGTTAGGGTTTGGTGAGGCTTTTGGCCTAGTTGATGGAGGTTGCCAATGATGGGAAGACCTCGAGGACCTGGGGGGAGGTTGTGTTGTTTTGTGAGGAGAGAATGGAGGAATTTGAGGAAGATGAAGGTGAGGAGAAAGAGGAGTATGCAGTTCAGTGCTTCCATCAAGAGAGAAAGTTGCAAAAGAAGAAGAAGAAATGGGAGAGAGACGTAAGTAGAAAGTTCACAGAAGATTAGATGTTTTAATAGTTTCATTTTTTGTTTGAAAAATAAATAAGTTTTTATTAATATTTATTTTAATTAAAATTCAAACTCATTTATTTGAACTGGTTGAATTTTTATAGTTTCATATCCTAATAAGTTAAAAGAGTAATGTTATTTCAAACACGTGTTTTTATTTTATTGAATTTATGGGTGAAAATAAATTAAGTTGAGTTAGATTTTGTCAAATTTGAGTTTGTTAAAAATTTTAAAATTTAAATTTAATTTGTAGCGTATTAAAGATTTATTTTTAAGTTTGAGTCTGAACTGTTCGAAAATCTGACTGATCTATTGAGTTATATAAAAGTCTATTTTATTTAAACGTTTTTAAATAAGTAATTCAACTAATGTTAAAATCGATTAACAAATTAAAAGATTAATTAGACTAAATATTTGTTTGAATTGATTAATTCAAATTTATCTATTAATATATATTTTGTGATACTATTTATTTGAGAGAATTTATGAAAATAATTTATGATAATGTTTATAAGATTTTTAAATATATTTTCATATATCTTTTTAGAATCTAAATTTTATTTTAATATTTTAATTTAAAATACAAACATAATAATAATAATAATAATAATAATAATAATAATAATAATAATAATAATAATAATAATAATAATAATAATAATAATAATAATAATAATAATAATAATAATAGTATTCATATTTATTTAAATAAACCGATTCGATAAATTTATAGATTTTTTTATAGTATATGGCATGGCTTTTTTTAAATAAATAAATTTATATAAAAGCATGAACATTTTCTATTTAAAGAAAAAATCTAACCTGGTCAAAGCTTATAAGATTAGTCTGTAGGCTCTTGTTTGTGATCTGGCCTATTTTCCCTATTAATGGTATGTTTGGAACACTAGAATGTGAAAGGAAAGATCCTTTATGGATAGAAAGCACAAAAATAAAATAAAAACCTTCTTCAATAAGAGATGGAAGAAAGTTCTGTAGGTCCTACTTAATAAAATGTTTCCTTCCAAGAACGCAGAGAAAGTTGAAAACAATCATAATTTTTGCATTGTTCCATTTTTGCCCTTAAATATACATATCAATTATTAACAAATATGCATAGAACCAAGTAATTTTAATGTTTTTATTTAATTAAAAATAAGGTCATTTTTGTCATTTTAAATATATTTATCTTTCTTTCCTTTCACTTTTTATCCACTTTCACTCGACAAACAATAAAAAATTCTTCTTACTTTCTATTAACTTTCTACTCACTTTCATTTCTTCAATATATTCTTTTCTTCTACTTTCTTTTTTTTCATGTTTCACCATCTAATATAGATCTCAAGTATTATATTTATAGGATCAATTGTGTAAATTAACTATGTTACCCAAGTACAAATATCATATCACACACCGTAAAAATGGTTTTTAAAATCTTCATCTCTAAAAATGTCACCGAGGGGAAATTTGTTTCGGAAATGACATTAAACATAGTAGAGGACCACCAACTTGTTTGTCTTCAACTTATATAAGAGATGATGATACATAGGAAATTATATACAAAGTTATATGAGAAAAAAGAAAATTATGATGCAATTCTCAATGCTCTTGTAACTTGTCTTAGTGGTTTGGCACTGTTAGACAAATGGATGTGCTTCCCAAAAATGGAATATCTTATGACAAGTGCTTATGATATGGTGTGTATTGATCTAACAAGATACAGTTTCTTGAAAACATTTTTTCCACTTCATAGTAGGTCACCTCAAAATATGTCTAGACACATCATGTGTATTAGGTGGCTTTAAAAAACACAACATTTTGGTTAGGTTTATTTGAAATCGGGATGTTCTATACCAAAGAAATCACCAGAGTGGACGACATATTTCATCAAAGATGCTAAAACTTGGTCGGTCGCTTTCTGGAAATGATGGAAGAGTTCACCAAGTTGAGCGGCGTTGAAAGAGAATCAAATAAGAAAATATCAAAGAAGGAACCACCAATAGATTTAGGTTGTGACACATATTTTGATACATCTTATTTTTAATCTAACAAATGTAACTCAATTTTTATTTGTAATGTTGTCAATGATGTAATCTCGATACAATTTGCGACATATATAATGTATATTCTACTTTAATATTGTAGAATTTGACGATAATTTTTTGACAATAGGACCATTTTCAGTTTATGTATGTTATGCTAATTGTGTATGAATACTTGTTCTATTCTGGGTGGATCCAAATATCCATCTCCGAACACACCCAATTTAATTGAAAAAATAACAAAGAAGGGATTTTACAGACGTACATCTCCGAACATACCTTTAATCTGTAAAAAAAAAAACGCTATCATATATGCATATCTGAAATATGTCATAATCAAAGGATATAGTTTCTAAGGTCCAAATTAATCTTCAACTAGTATAAAATAGGGGTCTCCTATTCCACGTGCTTTACAAAAATCAAAATAAATACATATCACCATCTTGCATTTATGTATTTCAATAGGGCAAATCCCCCACTTCAACTTAAGGTCTCTGAGAACATACTTCTCGTCTATCTAAAATCTAAACTGAATACTCTCTTATTATATTGTTTACTGTAAAATTTGGTAAACAATCACTAGTCTTCCAAAACATTATATCTTTGGTTACTTGCAGGATCGACTAGATTGGTCCTAAGACAATGTATATAGTTTGTGTTTTTAGGTTTTCTGGATAGTGATCTTTTTGACACTAAAGATAAATTCAAAGATAGTAATAAAATGATTTATGAAAATGAAAGGAAAGTAATGGATTTTAGAATGGAATGTAAAAGGAATGTAAATGACTTTCATGAAAAGGAATGTAAATTGATAGTGAAAATAAATGTGGCATTTCATACGTACATTCTCATAAACTCCTTTCTCGATAATAGTTCGTACTTTGAGTAAATATGAGTAATTTGTACAATAGTGAACACACAAAATCCTAAAATTAAAGAACCATATTTATATTACTTCGACGCGGGCGGTCTTCTCTTTAGAAGAGGACACGTTCTCGCTTGCATGTGTTCGACCCTTCGCAAGCTTCCACACGTCTCTTTTCAAAAATAATAGATAAGCGCCAAAATTCAGTTCTTTCAGCCTTATTTTAAATTATCCTTGTCGAACCCGCTTCAAACATCTTTCAAATGCTAAGTTTCGAATTCGTACTATCTTGTCAAAAAGACCATTATTTTCTTCCGTGGAAGCATTTTTCCGATGCTCTAGATTTCTTTTCCAAAACCTTGATGTCTTTATTCTGTGAGCGTCGAATTTCCAGATAACAAATTTCACCAAAAATTTCTTTTTCGATTATGATGTGAAAAGGGCATTTTTGGAAAGCCTTCAACGCTTCAGCAATTACTATTTGTTTACCGTTGTTTTTGGTAAAAAATCGCTGGTCTCCAAAAAAGGTAAGTTTTTGGTTTACTTGCGGGATCGACCAAACTAATCCCAGAACATATGCTAATCTTTATGTAAAATGAGTAAGAAGGAAGAACGCACGCTCGACCCAGGGGAGAGATGTTTAAGATTTTTGAATAGTAAATAAAAGCATGAAAATGCAAATAAAAGAAGTAAAAAGGTAACTTTGCAGGATAATGGTAAAGTAAAGTAAAAAGACTTTTATTAAGTAAAAAAGGTGTTTCTAACGTACATTGCTCTGCTTTTTATCCTTTCTCACGCAGTAGTTACTTGGATAATATTTGAGAGATTTAGTACTATAAGTTGAACACCACCAAAAATTGCACAAACTCCTTAATTTATACTAAAAGTAGGTAACCGTCGAGGGGACATTCTGCGCTAGGATGAGTGTCTTCTGCATGCCTCTCGACCCATAGTTTTTTGCCACGTTCTCCTCCCTTAGACGCTGATGAAAACCACCTTTCCCTCCAACAATTCAAATTTCAAAATGGTCTTCGTCCCATGTGCCAAGGCGCGAACACTTTCCTTCAGTCGAACAACATATATCTGCTTCAGTCGAATGAACCTTTGGTCGAAGTTTCTTATCATACCTTGGATCCTTTTCCTTAAGTTATATCATGCGTCGAATTATACCTCCTGGTTTAGTTCATTTCCAGTTGTTTGGTCAAAGAGACCAAATATAGTAAGTGTCGAATTTGGGAGCCAACACTATTGTGACGTCATGGTCATGATGACCACTTTTCAGAAGGGTCTCATTGAGACATGCATTATAACTAGCATCATTACCTCTAGAAATAGAAGTATGGAGGTAACTTGTATAGAAGTAACCACTTATACATCCTCTCAGAATATTACATGTGTCCCACTAACTACTTATTCATCTTCTAAAGTGAAAATGAAACGCCTTTTTCTTCTTCCTATAAATATACTTATCTTTCACTTTCAGAAAATTTTCCAATTCTGCACTGTAAAACTTGTGTTTTTTCTTGAGCTTCTTCTTCAAAATATTTACAAACTTTTCATCTTTCAAGCTCCCATAAGCTGAGGGTGAAGAAGTTTTTGCTGAAGGAAACCAAAATCTTAAAGGTACTGAGACAATTCCTACTCAAGTACCTAACGTGGTTACTACAGCCAAGGCAAGCATCCCTTCAACGGGATCCTGAACCAAAGAGGATTTGGCTTTACTGAAGCAACAAAGTCCGTTAGGTTATCTGACTGCAATCTTGGAGGGTCGAGAGAGCTCTTCTGATCGCAGTGCCTCGACTGCATCTGGCAGGTCTACCTCAACTTCCCCTCTCGATGAGGCTCTTCAAAAGGTTAAAGCACAAATCTTTAAAAGAGATTTGATGTTAACCTTAGAGGGGGAACCAGCAGCGCCTTCCTATCTAAAGACTATCCTGAAAGCTGTCGATCTTCTTGTTGCCCCTCCATATGTAGCCAGTATAATCCTGGATTTACTCTCTATTGTCGAGCAAGTATCAGCA